TTTCTGTCCTTTGATCAATATCTCCTCTTTTCCCCATCCACCTGTTTCCCAAGCTCCAGGTAACTACCATTTTGCTTTCTACTTCTATGAGTTTGACTTTTTAAAATTTCACACATAAGTAAAATCATATAGTATTTGTCTCTTTGTGCCTGGCTTATTTCACTTAGCATAATATCCTTTCGTTTCACCTACATCTTCCTGAATGACAGGATCTCCTGATTTTTAAAGTTTGAGTCATATTCTAGTGTGTCTATATACATCACATTTTTTAATTGAGTCATCTGTTAATGGGCACTTCGGTTATTTTCATTTGGCTATTGTGAACAGTGTTAGAATGAACATAGAAACACAGTCAACTCTTTAATATATTGGTTTTATTTTCTTTGGATATGTTCTCAGAAGGGAGATTGCTGGATTATATGTTAATTCCATTTTTAGGTTTTGAGGAAGCTCCACATCATTTTCCAAAATGGTGATGTTAATTCACAAATCTGCCAACAGTGCACAATGGTTCCTATTTCTCCACTTCCTTACCAACACTTGATTTCTCTCTTCTTTTTGATAATAGCTAATCTAACAAGTATGATGTGTTATCTCATTGTGCTTTTAATTTGCATTTATCTGATGATTAGAAATGTTGAGCACCTTTTCATATATCTGTTGGCCATTGTGTGTATTTTTCTGAAGAACATCTATTCAAGTTTTTTTCCCCATTTTCAATTGCATTATTTGGGGGTTGTTTTGTCTTATTTGGTTTTTTTGCTACTTTTTTTTTTTTTGCTTTGTTTGGGTTTCTTGTATATTTTGTATATTAGCCACTTTTTCAACATATGATTTGCAAATACGTTCTCCCAATATGTGAATCACTTCATTCATTTCCTCTGATATGCAAAAACTTTTGAGTTTAATGCAATTCCATCTATCAGACACCTGTGTTTTTTATTTTTATTTTTTAATTTTTATCTTACTTTAAGTCCCAGGATACATGTGCAGAATGTGCATATTTGTTACATAGGTATACATGTGCCATGATGGTTTGCTGCACCTATTAACCTGTCATCTAGGTTCCCTCCTCATGTCCCCAACCCCCAACAGGCCCCAGTATTCATTGTTCACTTCTCTGTGTCCATGTGTCTCATTGTTCAACTCCCATTTATGAGTAAGAACATGTAGTGTTTGGTTTTCTGTTCCTGAGTTAGTATGGTGAGGATGATGGCTTTCAGCTTCATCCATGTCCCTGGAAGGGATATGATCTCATTTTTTTCAATGGCTGCATAGTATTCCATGGTGTAAATGTACCACATTTTCTTTATCCAGTCTATCATTGATGAGCATTTGAGTTGATTCCATGTCTTTGTTATTGTAAATAGTGCTACAGATAAACATACATGTACCTTTGTCTTCATAGTAGAATAATTTATATTCCTTTGGGTTGATACCCAGTAATGGGATTGCCAGGTCAAATGATATTTCTGGTTCTAGATCCTTGAGAAATCACTACACTATTCCACTGACCCCACAGAAATACAAATTACCATCAGAGAACGTTACAAATACCTCTGTACAAATAAACTAGAAAATCTAGAAGAAAATGGATAAATTCTGGACACATACACCTTCCGAAGACTAAAACAGGAAAAAAATCAAATCCCTGAATAGACCAATAACAAGTTCTGAAATTGAGGCAGTAATTAATAGCCTACCAATGTAAAAAAGCCAGGGACCAGATGGATTCACAGTTGAATTCTACCAGAGGCACAAAGAGGAGATGGTACCATTCCTTCTGAAATTATTCCAAGCAATTGAAAAGGAGGGACTTCTTTCTAAATCATTTTGTGAGGACAGCATCATCCTGATACCAAAACCTGGCAGAGACACAACAAAAAAAGAAAAACTTATGCCAGTATTCTTGATGAACATCTATGCAGAAATCTTCAATAAAATACTGGCAAACCAAATCCAGCAGTACATCGAAAAACTGATTCACCACAATCGAGCAGGCTGCATCCTGGGGATGCAAGGCTGGTTCAAGATACAGAAATTAATAAACATAATCCATCATATAAACAGAACCAATGATGAAAACCACATGATTGTCTCAATAGAAGCAGAAAAGGTCTTTGATAAAACTCAACACCATGTTAAAAACTCAATAAACTAAGTATTGAGGGAACATACCTGAAAATAATAAGTTTTTTTATGATGAATCCACAGGCAATATCATACTGAATCAGTAAAAGCTGGACACATTCCCTTTAAAAACTTGTACAAGACAAGGATGCCCTTTCTTACCACTCCTATTCAACATAGTATTGGAAGTTTTTGCCAAAGCAATCAGGCAAGATAAATAAATACAGGGTATTCAAATAGAAAGAAAGGAAGTGAAATTGTCTCTGTTTGAAAATGAGATGATTCTATATTCAGAAAACCCCATCATCTCAGCCCAAAAACTCCTTAAGCTGATAAGCTGATAAGCTCAGCAAAGTCTCAGTACACAGAGCCAATGGGCAAAAATCACAAGCACTCATTTCCACCAATAGACAAGCAGAGAGCCAAATCATAAATGAACTCCTATTCACAATCACTACAAAGAGAATAAAATACCTAGGAATATAGCTAACAAGGGAAGTGAAGGACCTCTTCAAGGAGAACCACTGCTCAAGTAAATAACAGAAGATACAAACATGGAAAAACCTTCCCTCCCCAAAGATAGGAAAAATCAATATCATGAAAATGGCAATACTGCCCAAGTAATTTATACATTCAATGTTATTCTCATCAAACTACTGTTGACATTCTTCACATAATTAGAAAAAAAACTACTTTAAATTTCATATGGAACCAAAGAAGAGCTCATATAGCCAAAACAGTCTTAAGCAAAAATAACAAAGCTGGAGGCATCACACTACATGACTTTAAACTATACTACAAGACTACAGTAACCAAAACAGCATGGTACTGATACCAAAACAGACAGAAAGACCAATGGTACAGAACAGAGATCTCAGAAATAACACCACACATCTACAACCATCTGATCTTGGACAAACCTGAAAAAAACAAGCAATGGGAAAAACATTTCCTATTGAATACGTGGTTCTGGAGAAACTGGCTAGCCATATGCAGAAAACTGAAACTGGACCCCTGCCTTACACCTTATACAAAAATTAACTCAAGATCAATTAAAATACATAAATGTAAAACCCAAACCATGAAAACCCTAGAAGAAAACCTAAGCAATACCATTCAGGATGTAGGCATGGGAAAAGGCTTCATGACAAAAATGCCAAAAGCAAATGCAACAAAAGGCAAAATTGACAAATGGGATTTAATTAAACTAAAGAGCTTCTGCACAGCAAATGAAACTATTGTCAGAGTGAACAGACAACCTACAGAATGGGAGAAAATATCTGCAATCTATCCATCTGACAAAGGTCTAATATCCAGAATCTTCAAGGAACTTTAACAAATTTACAAGAAACAAATGGCCCTATCAAAAATATGAACAGACACTTCTCAAAAGAAGACATTTAGGTGGCCAAGAAACATGACAAAAGCTCAGCATCACTGGTCATTAGAGAAATACACAATGAAATCCCATCTCAGGCCAGTTAGAATGCTGATTATTAAAAAATCAAGAAACAATAGATACTGACAAGGCTGTATAAAAATAGGAACGCTTTTACACTGTTGGTGGGAAGTAAAATGTCAGACACCTGTTTTAACACCTTCAGGTTCTTCTCACATGCACTAAAGTTTTAGAATATTGACCTGGTCTACCTTCATTAATCCGATGTTCCTAGCAGAAAAGGTCAATTATTAATCACAGTTTATATTATAAGGACACTGTACCTCAAATATAACTTGACCAAAATCATAAAATGAGTAAAGCAACAGAACAAAAATTTGGGTGTAGCAATCTGGATGCAGATGTCATTTTGCTATCACTGCTGCATATGCTGTAGTAAATTGACTTCATTAGAAAATCTAAATTGAAATGCTTAGATTTCAGTTAGAAAAGTTTGATAACTCTTCCATTCATTATTCTTTTCAAATATTTACATTCACTTTAGCTAAAAAATAATGAAATGTACACACTAATGGCATCTGCAAAATAACAAAGAGAAACTCTTTGAGACCACTTTAAGAAATAATCATCATTTGTAGAATCAGTGAGTTGCGGGTTATAGGGAAAAAAATTTGAAAGGGATTATAACTGTTTTACTAAGGCTACCTATTCCTCTGGAAGTTTTGCTTGCCTCACATTTTTAAAGTAAACATGAAGCTGCCTTCCCTTCAAATTATTGTCTGAGGGTCATCTATCAACAGGTTAAAAATGCAGTCTTAGAATAAATTCAAAGCAGTCCCTGGCAGAGTCCAGTGGGACTGGAGAGGTGCGAGTGAGGACAGAGAGATGTAGGAAATGAATTAGTGAAATAACAGAAGTCAGACTGTGGAGAATCTTACAGTTATTTGTAACAGTTTTAATTTTTATACTGGTAAAGTCTTAATAAGTATTTTCTGAAAAAGGAAAAAAACCTGTGATTGGAAAACAATGGTTTAATTGAAGCTAAATAGGTTTCTTCCCTCTAGAATTTTTAATAGTCTTTATCTACTGAGTGAATGATGATATTGTTGACTATAGTTTAGAACCTAGAAGGCAAATTAAGTTTGACCAGACAGGAAATAACAAATTAAATTGACATGTAAAATTTGAAGTGCCTGTGGAGAATACTGTGTAGAGCTACCCAAAAGAAACTTGAAAAAACCTTTAAATCTTATACAAAGCAACTGAGAAAAATATTGAAAATTAAAATTAAATAATATTTAATTTGAGAATTAATTATAAATAATATCTATGAAATTTATGTCTATGCTATTCAAATAAATAAAGAAGAGAAGAATCATTTGCCCATCTCAGAAGGAGGGCTAGGATCTGAATTTTCTATTTATTCACATTTTGTAGATTCTTTGGAAAATTATTCGGTTCTTTAGCTCACTTTGTTCTGTAGATACGAAGCTTGAATCCAAGAGTCATTTCTCAACTTATTTTGATATGTAATATCTTCATATTTGGGCTTATCCAAGTTCACCAACAAATGCAAGAAAGAAAGAAAAAATTACTTAACGTTCTCCTTTGAAGATTACTTTGCTTCTGTTTTATGTCATCATTGGTTTTTTTCTATATTAAATGATGTAACCAAAAACAATATATCCAAGAGATGACTCACCTTTCCAAAATATTGAGAGATGTTTGACTCACATCTCAAGAATCACCTTCATTTTTCCCTTGCATTTTTTTTTCTGGAAACATAAAACTGAATATTTTGGTAACTGAGTAACTGGATCTTTGTTTAGTTTAATGGAAATTTGAGCAAATGTACCAAATTAGCAAAATGAATCATAGTGAACATTCTCTAGCCAGGCTTATTAAATTTTTACTATAGAGTCATCTAAAGTGTATTTCATGGGAAATGTATCCACCTTCCAAAGGCGATCTGCCATACTCAGCAGTGCTGTGGTTCTCATGGAAATGATTTTACCATTGAACATGATTGTCAGATTAACCATATCTAATTCTAGGGCACTGATTGTAAATGTGAATACTTGAACTTGATTCAGAACTATCAGATATGCTTAGAACTTCACTCAGTTAATCCTGCTGGAATCTTAGTCTCTAAAGACCAAAGTCACGGAAGTATGTTTTGGCTTTAATTTGCAGACATTTTTCCATTGCCATAGTTTTTTGTTTTAAAATCATGTCCTTGAGAACTGGTTAAGGACTTGGGGACTTTTTAATCTGTATCTACTTAACTAATGCTTCTATTCAATGACTGATAAAATCAGCAGATAGTTACCTTATGTAAAGAAAACAGAATATCAGTTTATAGCTGAAGTTATTCAATGCATGATATTCTCACATTTAAATTATTTTATCAAACTTATTCTGAATGATGACCAATGTTTCTTTAGTGATATCATTATTAATAGCATATTACCACATTATTCTTTGAGCCAAACAAAGCCTAAAGAGAAACATTTGTCAGAAGATACCAAGCAGGTTTCTTTTTAAGCCAGCGAGTTAATTTTTAGAAAGCATTAATTTTATTTTCTTAGGTATAAAAAAAGTTATGTTACACTACAAAACATAAGTGAATTGGCCTGCTTGGAACCTTCATTAAAAGGGAACTAATAATGAGAATTAGTATTTGTTGACTGCTTAACTATGTGCCCAACACTATCTTTCTACAAGCCATGAAGCCAATACTTCTTAAATCTCCCTTTTTATTCATAACTACAAGTGAAAACATGAGGCACAGCAAGATGAATTAAGTTGTCAATGATCATAAATAGTAGAGCCAAGATTTGATCCAAGGCAGTCAGAATCCAGCACTGTGCTTTTAATTCCTATACCACACTGTCTCTAAAATAGAAAGAAACAAAAAGGAAAACAGAAGAGAGGTTACAATGAGCTAAGAAGAACTTGTTTAAAGCAACTGGTAAAGGAGCAAGGGAAATAAAGTCAGACTGTGTGTGTAAAAGATGAAACACTACACAGCTATAAGACATCTAAAATTAGAGCATGAAACACTGGTCTTCTCAGTTGAAATTTAAATAGATTTAGAATGACCAATGACATTTTTATAGGTTAAAACTTTTCAATGAAGGTAGAGCAGTCTAATTTTAAATAACCAATCTTTAGAGACGGCGAATGAACATAGGAAAGCATTGTACCTATTATCTGGGAGGTGCTTTTTAACAGGAGTGACCGAGATACTGATACTAAGTCTGGTTTGCCAAGAATAGTCCTGATAACCTCCTGTTGTTCCAACTTAATTTTTCACCTTTCCTTCTTTCATTTCAATGTGTCCTTGTTGAATAATAAATTTTATGATCCTCTAGCTATGCCCATACTCTTAATTCCTCCAAAAAGGATAAAATACATGCTACCACAGGCAATTTTTATTTTTCAGGTTTTTTCTCATTGATAATTGATGACCTCTCAAAGGCTCTCTCATAATGTTAACAACTTACTTCTTTAAAACCATTGAAAGAGAGTCTCACAAAAGGACTGAGTTTATCTTTTAAGGGCTTTCATATGACTGTATCAGATCCACCAAGGTTAATCTACCTTATGATTCATACAATATCAATTGTACTAAACACATGCAAAACCCCTTCACATTTGCCATGTGTGTAATCTAGTCAAGGGAGTGATGTGCCATCTCCTAGACAGATTCTATTGTTCAGAAGCAAGTAAGCTGGCAATTCTACCTGTACTGAATAGGAGGTGTTTATTCAAAAATGTAGCTCATTGAGAATGTGTCCCCCTTAGGCTATGTCCACCAAAAGTAGTGACAGACCTTTCATTTTCTTCAGAACTCCCAGGAACACTCAGAAAACAAAAGAAGGTTAATAAATACTTGTTGATCTGAAAATTTTGAAAGGTAAGTGGCCATTTTAATGGTTCCAATGACATTCTCAGAACGGCGTTGGTCTTGAAGAGATATGGACTGGACATGTTGTCCAAATTTGAGAATAATGTAAAGATTCAACAACACCCTCAGTTTTGTCATCAGAATAAAAAATCTTCCATGTAAAATGTAAAATCTTCCCTGCTGCCTGCCTATCTGTTTTGAAGAAAAATACACTGCAGATGGCACAAGCTTTCTAGGAATGGCAGAGGAAGAGATAATGTAGCATAGATATTCACAGTGACCATCTAGCAGAGCAGTACTTACTAAATCTAAGCCAGAATCAGAAGACATAAAATGCCCCATTTATTATGGATAAACATTTAGGTTATTACTTATGCAAGTGAAGTACTCTCTTAAGGCACATTTTTCTCTTACAAATGAGAGATATATATATAATTTATATATTATATAATATATAAAATTATAATTATATAAAATATATAACATTATGATTATATAATAATGATAAGAATAATCTTTAAATTATTCTCAAATTTGGACATGTCCAGTCCATATCTCTTCAAGACCAACACCGTTCTGAGAATGTCACTGGAACCATTAAAATGGCCACTTACCTTTCAAAATTTTCAGATCAACAAATATTTATTAACCTTCTTTTGTTTTCTGAGTGTTCCTGGGAGTTTTGAAGAAAATGAAAGGTCTGTCACTACTTTTGGTGGACATAGCCTAAGGGGGACACATTCGCAGTGAGCTACATTTTATAATGATTTTATAAAATTTAGATGATTAGTTCTACTTAGTAACATGTAAAATTAATAAATTCATTTTGAAAAATCTTCAAACATAAAACAGATGTTCAACTGCATCAAGGAAGGAATAAATCATGGTTGCAAAGGAAGAGACAACCATGCACTCACACTTTCACCTGCTCATGTGCTTCACATGTGTTATCTCACTGGCAAAGAATGTATTCATAAGCTTTGGGGCACAAACCAAAACCATGTAAATCTGTTTCCACTGACATCACCGAAGAACTTGTGATCTGCCAATGCTGTTCCAATGTCATAAATTCAAATGAGTGAAAACTGCTTGTTATTTAGCAGAAAATAAAAGCATATCTCTTCTAGACCTTACTTGCTCTCTCTGCAATGAAAATTTTGTGAAATAAACACCCCTAACTCAGTATTCTGCACTGATAGAATCCCCAAAAAATAAAAAATTATAGCTAGATAGCAGAAAAAAGTTCTCGCATTCTATGCCACTGTAGGATGACTATAGTTAATAATAAAATGTAGTTTAAAATACCTAGAAGGAGGACACTGAATGTTCCCAACACAAATGATAAATGTTTGAGACAATGCTTATGCTAATTACTCTAATCTTATCACTACACATTATATGTATATCCAAATGCCATTATGTACTGCATGAATATATACAATTATTATTTGTCAGTTAAAAAAGTAATATTTGGTCAAGCATGGTGATTCATGCCTGTAATCCCAACATTTTGGGAGGCTGAGGTGGGCAGATTAGTTTAGCCCAGGAGTTCGAGACCAGCTTGAGCCTCGGCAACATGACAAAACTCCATTTCTGAAAAAATACAAAATTAGCCAGGCATGGTGGTGCATACCTGCAGTCCCAGATACTCAGGAGGCTGAGGTGTGAGATCACCCAAGCCTGGGAGGTTGAGGATGCAGTAAACTGTGATTGCACCACTGCACTCCAGCCTGAGCAAGAGAATAAGACCCTGTCTCAAAAAATAAATTAATTAATTTAATTAAATTTTTAAAAGATTGTGAAGGTAAGTGAGAAAAATGCAAAGGAAATAAACTCTCTTTTAAAATATTGGGTAATTTTCTTTGTGAATAACCACAGAGTATAGATAACATATGAAAATCAGGTTACTTTCTGTTTTCTAAATTTTCAAAAATTTCTAAAACACCCCAGAACACAACATGAAATTCATTGCTGCAGGGCTATCTGCATTATCTACTATATTTAGGGAAACTTTACATCTGAGCCTAATGATAAGTCTTACCAGACTCCTGGAAAAGTAAACCCAGAGAGGTGATGATGAGTATAACTCTGGAATCACAAAAAACTATGGGCCAGAATATAAGGATCCAAATTGTTGGACAGTTTTTTAAAAAGTAAAAACATTGCATTTGTCAAGTTAAAAGAAGATATCATGGATCATATTTACTACTAGTTAGGATCACACTGAATTTAAATAAAAATTCATTGAGCAATTTATTTCCCATCATACTTAAAAAGATGAAGTTTAAAAGACTCTATAACTTATGATTTCCCTCTCAAGTAAAATTTGAAGACAAATTCAAAATATTAGCTACCATCATTATTTAAAGCAGTTTCTTTATATTTAGTTTTATTATATATAGTGTATATACTAGTAATATATACAGTGGTAGACATTTTACATATACTTTATATAGATTTTATGCTACATATGTATGCATAGATACACACACATCTCTGCATAACACAAAGCTTAGTTTATTGCTTACTGCAGCAAAGAAGAATGCAACCTCTACAGAGTCTTCCTTTCTCAGTGTCTCAGAGGAGAAAGAACAAATTGGAAATCTGGAGTCTGGTTTACATGGCTCTTTCAATAAGGAAGCTTGGTTAGAGATATGTAAGTTTCATGTACTGTGCACAATACATTTGAATATCTATTTTATACTTAAAAATTTTAAAAATGCATTTATTGTTTTTACGTATGAAGTATAACAAATCATTTAAAAGTACGAGGAGGAAGACAACAAACCACATTGCCATGTATGTACCTATGTAGGAATCCTGCATGTTCTGCACATATACCCCAAAATCTAAAACGCAATTAAA